ATAAATTGGTATGTATCTCTGAAAGGTATTGAAAGAAAGAACACTACAATACTATATCACACATTCAGAAATTAGCAATAATTCAGTGCCAGCCATCAAATATCTACAAATTTTCAAATGTCTCATTCAATCTCATTATATTGTTTAGTTTTCTTGAATCTGAATTTAAAAAAAAAATCTATCATTGAATTGATACATCTTAAAAAACCTTTTAATCTGTAAGCGCTTATCTTTCAATATCCCCTTATTTTCTTCTCTCTCTCTTTCTCTCTCCTGTATATTTTTTATGTTTCCATTGTTGTTCTTGAATAAACAAAGGTTTTCCCTGGAAAGTTTCTCATGGTCTGAATTTTGCTGATTTCTTCCCTGTGGTGTCATTCCACATCATCCTCTCTTTTGTATATTTTGTAAATCTGCAGTTGGACATAGAGGCTTGATCAGTTTTTTTTAATTATTTTTTTCTTTTGGCCAAGAATACTTAAAATTTTGTGAGGTCTTCTCCCCTTAGAAGCACATAATATCTGGTTGTCTCTCTTTTTGTGGATCAGCCATCAGTCTTTAAATTAAGGTTGTGTCTTAATCAGTTTGGGCTTCCATAACAAAGTACAACAGACTGAATAGCTTACACAATGGAAATTTATTTCTCACAGTCTGAAGGCTGAGAAGTTCAAGTTCAGGATGTCAACAGTTTCTTTCTGAGGCCTCTCCTCTTGGCTTGTAGGAGGCCACCACCTTCCTGTGTGTTCACACGGCTTTTCCTTAGTGGGTGCACATGGAGGGGGAGAGGGAGGAGCATTCTGCTCTTTCTTCTTATGAGGACACTAGTCTTATGGGATCAGGGACCTACCCTTATGACCTTGCTTAACCTTACTTACTTCCTTAGAGGCAACATCTCCAAATATAGCCACACTGGGGGTTAGGGCCTTAACAAATGAATTGGGGGAGCAGACATTCAGTCCATAACAGGTTTCAATTCTATCATTTCTTCTTTATTATTGAGAAGTCCAACCAAGGAGCACTTCCTCCCCATTCTTTGGTCACTTACTGGTAGCACCTGTAAAGAAAAGGCAAGACAAATGATTGGCTCTTCCTTTTTATTTTATAATTATTAAAATAAAGGGTTTGTTCCCTCATATTCTCTAACAATTACCAATAGATTTTTATGATTTTATGTTTAGTATAGTCGTGATTTCAAACTATCGTTCTTTGTCTGTGTTGCCTTAGACAAATCATTCAACCTCTCTAAGTCCTAGTTTTCTATGGCTCTGAAATGGAGAGGGTTATGGTCCCAATCTCACAGAGCGATGAGATTTCAAAGGGATAATATCTGTAAAACAGCTACTGCATTGTGGGACACAAGTAAATCTCACTAAGTAGCAGCAACTGTTTGTTATTATTATGATTAGAATTATAATCAGAACAGATTACTTTAGCATATACTGAAAACTGTTCCTGTAGAACTTCCTCTGGTATTTTGAGTATTTTTCAATATGAATGACAAGCTACCTGTAACTGCCTGCTTTAGGTTTGCTTTTTTCTTTATAACATAATGAAATAATAGATGGTAGTAAGTGCCCTGTCATTACAGAGGTGATTTGATGACCATGATTCATGTTTGAGAGATTCAGGCATTGATTTCCAGGTCAAGAATCAGAATGATCAAAACAACTTCATGAACGTCTTGGAGTATGAGCAGTGTAGAGCTTCAGCTTGCTAGTGCAGTGCGCAGGTTCAGAAGAAGCAGAATATAAAAGGCCTTCAACTCTCTATACATAGCTATTGCATGTTTCAAAATTCTTCTGACAATACATAGTTATGACTAATTCCTACTGTTCTTTTCATAGGATCTGGAGCTAGTCTTTCATCAAGGCGATGCTAAATGTTAAGCAAAACAAATCTTAGAAAAAAAGAATGGAGAATGAGATAAGCTTCTCTGTTTAATGACCCTGGTCATCTAGTAAAAAGACATTAGTTGAATGTGGTCAATTTGTTGTTGATCAGTATTTTTTCCAAAGGAATCTTATGTTATCCTAATTTGCTTTATGGATATAACTACAACTCTAGTTCATGAATATTTAACTCTTAAAGGAGACATACCAAATATACTGAAATTCAATCATAATACAATCCCAATTTGACTTTTTTATCTATTCAGAGAACATTGGACGTGGTATCCTGAGGCTTACTCTTTTTTTTTTTTAAGGGGCGTTTAGCTTGGCTGGTGTGGCTCAGTGCTTGAGTGTCAACCCATGAACCAGGAGGTCAAGGTTAGGGCACATGCCCAGGTTGCAGGCTCGATCCCACTAGGGAGCCTGCAGGAGGCAGCCAATCAGTGATTTCTCTTTCATCTGAAAACAATGAAAAAAAAATACTTTAAAATGGGGTTTAGAGTTGTAAGTTAGCTTCAGGTAAAAAATCTAATCATCTACATTATCATGAAAACATTGCTTCTGGCAAGAAATAATTCATGCCAGCTTACTCAATGTGTATTACTGAGGTGTAGAACGTGACTCTGGTCTGTGACCGTGTCTTGCTCTAATTTTTCTTTCAAACAGAAGTATGCTGGTAAGATATCTATCATCAGTGATTTTCTTTAGTGCTGTAAGATAGTGGTCGCCAACCGGTGGTCCTCAGACCACTGGTGGTCTGTGAGGTCCGAAAGGTTGGCGACCACTGCTCTAAGAGATGGCTACGGTAAGTAAGAAAATTCAGAAAGTCCATATCATAAGTTTACCCTGGAAAAATGGCAAGTTCAAAAACAGTATGATAAGCAAGAAATTAATTCACAAGACTCTGTAATCAGGCATGAGAAACATGGTGTCAGCCCTGTTGAATTTTTAGTTTTTCTTGTTATTCCATTATGACAGATAGGAAGAATTGACAGTTGGAGCTGATTCCTTTAAAAACTTATTGTCATTGAATCTGATGAAAGATTACTCATACTTTTTACTCAACTTATGATTGACATATGTGCCACGGCATATTGTGAAATACTTTTACCTTGATTCTAAAAAGTGACTTTGCCAAAATATTTTAATAAATAAGCAGGCAAAAATATTACTCTGTTTACATTCTCTGAAAATATAAATAATTCAAAGATACTATTGAAGATAATTCTGGAAGGGAGTGGGGTTTTTTTGATTTTACATATTTTATCCAAAAGAAAGTTAAAAACAGCACACCATCTATTGGCAGGCCTGAATTTACTTTGCTCAAGTCACTCAGAGGTTGTCTAAATTGGCAGTTTTAAGAAAACCTCTTTTGAGTTATTCATGCTTTTACTGGAAGGAATTGAAATAATATAGAAAATAATTATAAACTGAGATTCTGCCTGGAAAGTTCTTTCTTTGATCATACTAACTGATAATTCTTCAGTGCTACCTCTGTAGACCTTTTCAAGTCTATAAAAAAATGTGTATATGTATAAATATTCCTTTTACAGAAATGCAATGCATGTATGTAATACTTGGCAATTTGCTTTTTTTTTTGCTTTCTAAAAGATTACAACTTTCTAGATTGCTATTTATTTTTTTAACTGTTGCATAATATTCTATTGGTTGCCTCAGAATTTACTTGATTACTCTATATTTTTTATAGACATGAAGATTGTTATCAATTTATTTTTACTATTTCTTTTTTTCTATATATATTTTTATTGATTTCAGAGAGGAAGGGAGAGGAAGAGAGAGTTAGAAACATCAATGATGAGAGAAAAATCATTATCACATGCCTCCTTCATGCTCCCTACTGGGGATCAAGCCCACAATCTGGGCATGTGCCCTGACCAGGAATTGAACCTTGACCTCCTGGTTCACAGGTCGATGCTCAACTGCTGAGCCATGCTGGTCGGGCTTAGGGCTCTTGTTGAGGCCCCACATGCGAAGACACTGGGTAGTAGGTATCCTCACATTACAGAGATAACGCTCATATATCCCCCAGGACTGGCAAAGAGGTGGGTGAACATCCCCTTTGTAGCCGATACAAAAGAACACTAGAGATCTGGTGAATCTGTGATGAAAAGGCCTTTGAAGGCAAGGTGCAGGAGCAAGAAGCACCATGGCACACCGCTGGCCCAGAGAGGGAAGTGTGGGTATCTCTCCAACCCCATCCAAGTGACCCCATGAGCAGCCCAGGGCTTTCTGCAGGAAGGGAAGATGCCATCTCACTTCCCAGCTGTGCCTGCAGCCCTCCCTGAGTCGCTAATGGAGAGAAGGCAGAAGAGTTCTTGGGGTGCCTTGAGTTCGGGAGTTTGGTGTGAGATGAAGAGAGACAGTGCCACTCTTGTCTGGAGCTTCCGATGCTGAGAGGCCCACAAGAGTAGGGCGAGAAGATTAGGCAGCATCTGAGCAAACTGCAGTTCCTGGCTTTGGGGGTCAGGGTTTGAGTTCTCCCACAGGCTGAGGGGGTGTCTCACGGGAGCCACCTTGGAGGACTCTTAATAGGGCTCCTGTCTAGGCGTCTGGCCACCGGGCAGCCCAGACTGGGGCAAGGCAGAGTATTTGGACACCTGCCCCTCAGAGCCGGCACATCAGTCCCAGTGACACCACTCCTGCCTTGTCCCCCCAATTCCTTCCTCCTCCCCAACCCTGGAGGGGCTGGAGCAGGAAGGGGAGGGAGCAAATTAGAGGAGCAAAAGGACCCTCATACCCTTGGCCACCAAGGGCCTGGTCACCAGAACCAGGGGCCAGGCCACCTGTCAGGACTGAGCAGGGTCGAGGGGGTGAGGGTGAAAACCAGATGAGAGACCGAGGTCCCGGTTTGGACCAGACCTGAGGGTGAGAGAGCTCAAATGTCTGAAACTGATCCAAAAACTAAGGATCTGCCAGGAGGTCACAAAGGAAGAATAAGAGAAGCCAATAAAATGGGCTTAAAGGCTGTTGAGGAATCCAAATGAAACAGATTCATGATGATCCCTAGGTGAGACCAGCCCCTTCAACACAGAGAATTCACCATGGAGAGATCCGGGGTCGCAGAGTCCAGGACTGTTGGGTCCCCCGATCTCAGTGCCAGGAGCTCAGGACCTGGACCTCCATGGGGCCCCTTCCGTCTTGGTGCCCCAACAGGCCAACAGCTTCTCCAGGGCCTTCCCCTGCTGCTCCCTGAGCCCAGGCCTCACCCGCCTTGACCAATAGGCCTCTCCTGACTTCAGGGTCTCCAGCCAGACCCTGAGCCAGCCCGAAGCAGGGTGGCCCCTGCTCCTTCCAGAGCTTCTGCAGGGAGAAGATCCCCCCTGGGAAGTGGCTTATTTCATTCCTCCATGGCTGCTCACTGCACAAGGGCATCCAGCTTGCCACGCCCTGGCACCGGGCGATGGGGCCTGCTTCTAGTTCTCCTGGAGGCTGCCATTTGCCCACAGAGGGCAGGTGCAGACTTACACGGGCACCACAGCCTACCTGGTGGCACTGCCTGCCTCCCTTCCTCTGAGCACCTTCTGCCCAGCCCTCCCTCTGATTGTCCCAGCTGTTACCTTCCTTGGAGAAGGGGTCGAAGAGGGCAAGCTCGGCCTCAGTGAGGGGGCCTTGGGCAGGGGAACTAGACGCCTCCTCGGTGCTCCCACAGTTAAAGAGAAGATCCAGGGCCTCCTGGGCTGGGCTGGATGGCAGGGGGTCCGCTGAGGAGTAGATCATGGGGGACATTTATGTCTGCCCTTATGCCTTCACAGCTTTCAAAATGGAGCTATTTCACTGAATCCTAGCAGCAACCATGAGTGTAGACAAGCCCATTCTTAGGGTTTGTGCCCATTTTACAGATTAAGAAACTACAGCCTAGGTGCCCTGTGCAGAGCTCCCGGCGGGTTAGTGGTAAAAGAGATGGAACACACCCCAGGCTTTTCACTAAGATCCCTGAGGAGGGAGTGGGCCCCCGCCCCACTCTGGACCCACCAGCCTTGGCTCCCTCCCCCACCCCTAAGTACCTGGCACCTCCAACTCCTCAAGGCCCCTCTTCTCTGTGGGGAGTGGCTGGGGTAACCAGGACTCATCAGGTGGTGGTTGGAGCTCCTCAGGAGGCGGTGTGGGGATCAGAGGGGGTGGCAGGATGTGCAGGTCCCTGGACACCTGGGAGGGCCGTGTCACCTCCCCACCCTGCAGGAGAGAGACCAGCCGGGAGGAGTCACAGGGTGCAGCCCACAGGGCGCAGCCCGGTGAGCAGGAAGGGTTCCCAGGTGCTGGGGAGGGGTCGAGCAGGTCCACATACCCGGAAGAACTCCTTCAGTTGGGGGCTGTTGTTGAGCGCGGGGATATGCACAGTGAAGCGAAGCAAGTCCTCAGCCCCTTTTCGCCGCTCCTCAATCACAGAGGCTTCGAACCTGCCTGCAGCCCCCGAGAGAAGGAGCAGGAAGAGAAGCAGTGACTCACAGGGCCTGTGGCCCCCAGGCCACTTCCGGTTCTGCCTGAGGATCTGAACAGCCCATCTGAGCTCCCCATTCTCCCAGCAATCTTCCCCGACTCCTCCAGGGTGGGGGGCACTTGAAAGAAGGGACCGATCCCCCTGTTCATCCATTTACCAGATGCGTACTGAACACCTACTATGTGCTAGGCTCATAAGGTGAATGAGAGAGAAGCAAGCTCTCTGCTCTCATAGATATCACATCCTAGACAGGGGGAGGCAAGCAACCAACAAGAAGCCAAATAATTTCAGATGGCTTTGATGTAATGAGGAGCAAAGCAAGGTCAGAGAGGGGAAGAGACTTGCCCAAGGTCACACAGCAAGTAGCCCCCTTTTAAAAAAAATATATTTTATTGATTTTTTACAGAGAGGAAGGGAGAGGGATAGAGAGTTAGAAACATCAATGAGAGAGAA